AAAAAAATTAATAATGAAAGCATAAATGAATTATTATTGTAGATAGGATAAATTAAACTGTCTCTCATTCAAAAATCATTTGCTATATTTCACATTCCTCAACATTCGGTTCTAAAGCCCCAGTTAGATGAGTTGAAAATTTCGTTGTATCAACTCCATCAGGAGCTTCATATCCAATACCCAATTTTGAGTATCCCGATTTAAAATTAGAGTTTATACTTAAGTCTTAATTACCTGAATTAGAGCCTCCGAATAATATAAATTCATCTGAAATATATTATGTATAAGATCCCATTTATTCTTTTATTGGATAAAATTACTTCAAAGTTTATGAAAATAAAAAAGAAGGATTTGAATCACAGTTACCAGAATAACCTATTTACCACTGATATGGTGTAAATCCACCAAACATCTAACCATTATTGTTTGATGATTTAAAGTACCAAAGCAAATTTTCCTTCCCAATAACCGTGTTTTTTATTAATTAATAATTTAGTCCATTCTCCAAACTATGATATATGGTTTTATTTGCTATTAAATTTTTCTTAACTCTGTCCTATATCATTCTCATCAAATCAAAAAAAAATTCACTCTCTCCAAATTTGAAAAATACCTTGTGATTGTCATGTGCTTTTGCTAATGAATTAAATATTTCTTAATATTATCCATTTGAATGTAATCTATATATATTTTTATTTATACTTTTTCTAGGTGTACTTAAGAAGTTCTCGTAAATTTAAAAGTTCTGCTTAGTTAATTCCGAAATCTATTCCCCTTATTTGATTGAAGTAAGTTTGAAATTTCTTTTGGGCCTATTGGATTCCCTCAGCCTAACTATTTCTATTTAAATTCTAAAGACTTTATAAAATAGATTTGAATTCATCATATTTAATAATCTAATATCACTAATTTGAAATACATTACGAAAATTAGTAGTCCATTATTATTCATTAATTATTTATTCAATTTTTTATTTTACTACATTCAACTATCTTTTTTAATCTTCAAAAAATTTATTAATCTAAGATTCTTCTATTGGTACAAATTTGAGTATGTTAGTGAATTAAAATACTTACTCAGGATGATCATGTATCTCATATAAATATAAATTACTTATTCTAGATCTATGATTTAATGAGCTTAAAAATTCTTTTATGTTTTCACTAATTCCAGAAGACAAGAACCGCAAATTAATTCTGAATTATCACTTCTAAGAAAATTTAAAATTTAGCGACTGTGAGTCTAGCAAGATGGAAGATTTTCCATAAATTTCTATTACTTGGGAAATTTTAATAATTTAAAAAATAAATTTTCTTAAAATACTAATATGTAATTCTATCAACTTTTAATTGATTGCCATATTACTTAGACTTAAATTAATTAGATGACAAATAATAAAGAGAAAGTATAAGTTAATCATATATGTTCTATAATTGGATCAGTTTTTCTTTGGGTTCTAGAAAATTATTTTAAGACAAATTCCTCATCATTGAATGTTAATTAAAAAAAGAATCATTTGAATAATTATTGTAGATCAAATTATTGAATAATTTTAAGAGATAAAAAGAATAGCTAGCTACTTCATTATCTTTAGACAAAGCATCCTTTAGACCTATACTAAATTATTAGTCTTTTGTGGAAGAATTATAATAGCAATTTTAATTATTGTTAGATTAATATTCTCCTTCTGACTAGAAAAAGACGATTCAAAAATTGAACCAACAATTAATGAACATGTAGAGATTTCAAAATACACTTCTGTTTGGATAATTTTTAAATTAGCTTTCTCCATATTTCACTTTAATAGAAAATCTTTACTAATAAATTTATAGATTTAATAGTTTATAGATCTCTTAATTAATTTACTTACAAAAAAGAAGTAATTCAATTTCAATATCCATTTAATCTGATTATTGAAATCGAGAAATAGTTTGTTGTTTCGTTCTAGATAAATGATAACTTTAACCTAATAAACTAAATTTTAGTCCTTATTGATTCTATAATGTAAGGTTTACTAATTTAACAAGTAATTGTAAAATTTTTATACATAGTTGAAATAAAACAAATCATAAACCTATTTAAAGCATTTATAAAAGTATTATCTTTCCGCTTGGTAGTTTCTAATTGAACAGCTAATAATTATAAAAACGAGTTTAACTTACATGATTTTAAACCAAAGCATTCAAATTGAATTTTGATATACAGTTTACAAGTATAACCTATGAATTTCTTCAAGATCTTTAACATTGAAAAGCTAGATGTTCTTCTTTTCATGAAAAATTTAAAGTGTTTAAATAGAGTTATTAAGTCATTTAAATTATGGTTCCAGTAAGGCGTACATGAGATTATATTATTAATTAATTAATTAATTTTTATTATCTCAGTATTAATATAGGCTTTTTATTCTATAGTTATTCGATAAAAGATAGTGATCATTAGCTTAAACTAATGGTTAAATTCAGTAATTTACAAAAAATACTTCTTTCATTAAAAAGTCTCATCACTTCTTATAAAGTACAAAAATTTAAAAGTAAATAATTAATCAATGGATTCAAAATTTTTGTGTGAGATAAATCTAAATCAAATTAATTATTCAACTCACTAAAGAAAAACAATATTTAAAGCCCTTTATATTAATGCATCATGTAAAATTATACTAAATATCAAATTTGTGCTTTGTAAAATTCAATTTTCCGAGATCTATTCAAGACAGATTTCCTCAATCAGGAATTTTTTCTATATTAATTATCAATTAGAATTAGGCCGAAGCTAAAAGGTGGACTTTTAGGGTCGCTTGGTTAAACTTTCTGGAGCCATCTACTGACTACTTTTAAGGAGTTAAATTTCTAAGACCATATTTCAACCTGCCATCCTACCAATAATTAAGATTCTAAGTTTTAATGATAATATTTTGAAAGTAAGATGAGANTTACATTCCATTTTTTTTACGATGACTCCTCTATTATTAAGATTAATTTATCTACTCCACAAGATATCACATTATTCTATTTCTCATTCCAACTTAATCCATATACATAATTTGTATGATCTGTAATAGTTTGTGAACACGTCCATTAATTATTCTTTATCCAAAATTTAATAGTTTTATCACTACTTCCTGATATAATAAGATCTTCATTATTATTCAATATTAAACATCTAATATAATCTTGATGTTCATTCAATTTGTATGAACAGATCCATTAATTATTTGAGTTCATAGACCATATTATCATCTATTTATCACGACTCCCAGATATAAATTGAGACGATTTCTTCATAAAATTTAAAGTTAAAACATAATTTTAATGTTCACTAAGAAGTTGAGTTAGTTTCAATTATTCTTATTTAAATTCAAATACTTTGATAGTACTATTACACCCTGCTAATACAATTGAATTATCATTATTAATAGCAATTGCAAAACAATATTCAGTTTATTGAATTGAATGATTTTGAATTAAATCATAAGTGAATGGTTTAGAATTTGATTCATGATGATTCTCCTGTTGAACTAACTAATGTTGATTTGATTGATACTGTTAATTAATAGTGATAATAATAGGTTTAATTTGTTGAATTAATGATTGAGCAAAGTTTTGTATAGAAGACAATGATATTTAATGAAATTTTGGAGTATGATTAACAATATTTTGAAGAAGTGATGGATAAGTAGGAATAGCAAGTTAATCAAGAAAATTGTCAATTCTGCTGAAAGATAACTAATAATGATATTCTTATATTACATATAACTCTTATTATACTCCTTAAAGACACTCTTTTACCTTATTTCTTTATTACTCAACAATCATTTCACAATTCATTAAATTTATTATTAACTAATCTCATAATTCAACTTTCTATTTCTATTAAAATGTCTTATGCATTCTTTATAAATTACAATATAAAATCAATTCCTTGAATGATAATAAATAAAGATTGTCTCAAATTTGATCATAGAATGAATATGGCAAAAGAAAATTTCATCCAGTCGACCTACCAGTTTATATTGAAAGTAGATTTTAAATTGAATTAAAGAAGAACTTTATATTAACTATTAGTGTATTGAATGTTCTCTGGTAAGAATTGGTTTAGAAATGATAATAAATGCTCACGGTTTTGAAGACAAGAGATGCAAAATTTTACTTCAAGAATATATTCTTTTATTATTGCTATGGAGATCTTATTAATTTTTGGGATGTGTAAATCTATGTTAATTCTTGTGGTTATCACACTTAGGTTTCAATTTCTCTTTAATTTTTTTTGCCTTTAAGTATTTGTGCCATCGATGAGGATGGTTTTTATTTTCATTAGTAAAACTGTTTAACTTAAGTAAAATAGCCAAGTTCATATAGTAATTCAAAATTAATTATCATTAATATAAGAAAGACTAAATTTTGATCTCAAGACTAAATCTTAAGCAAGCAGATTACATCAAATAAGTACATAAGAGTAGACATAAACATTATCACTATATAAGAATTATAGTATCATTGACTATAAGATTTTGAATAAATACAGAATATTTGTCGAAATTTAAAGTAGATCAATGAGTAATAATAATGGTAAGACAAATACTAGTTCAGAAAAAATATTTTATATTCATGTTTAAAAGGTGTATTGATATTCTCTTACATAATTACTTATGCTGTTTAGATAATTTATAAGACATAATCCAACACTTAAATTACAAAATTAGCTCTTAGTATCAAAAAATCGTTAAAGTAATCTAATATCCAAGATCAATTAAATATATTTTCCCAAGTTGCTATATAAAATACTTAATAATTTACCTCTTATCAACCTTATAAAATTCTGATGATGAAATAATTAAGGTCATAGAAAAGAGTTTCCCTTCCAGTTTATCCTTTGTCAAGATTGACTTTGAATTTATTGGAGAATGGTTTGAAAATATTAAATGGTATAGATAAGAATTGGAATGGCAGTTAAAGTAGGAGAATAAGAGTTAATTTGTGGAAGATGAGCTCGGCTCCTGTTACATCCAAATTGTTTTTCACTAGTTAGAACATGGACAGAAATTACAATATTAAGAATGAGATAGCAGCTTTAGGATACTAATAGTTTCGGTGGTAAATGGTAAACTAATAAGCACGAAAAAAAGGATGGAAAAATTGGAAACTGCTAACTATTTAATAATAGAAAATTGTCATCGGAAACAAGGAATACTTTTTTTGTTAAGTCCATTGAAAGGCGTCTAGACTTTACTAGAAAAGTGTAGATACAGATATACTTGAATTGATTCGTCTTTAATTCTAAACCTCTAAAAGATCATCCCTAATTTACAAATTAATCTGATTTAATCATACAGTAGGGTAAAATTAGGACAATTTAAGGAGAATTAGATTGGAGATGCATTAATTCAAGGAAAATACGTTTGAACAAATCATTAATAGGAGTGACTAAGAGTTTTAATTATAAAATAATGTTATTTCTTTAGATAAAATATGGAGAGGAAAAGTTGAAACCAAAATTGATATGTCTCTTATCAAAATTGAAGAGCTAAAGAAAATAAGTTTTGTTTTGCACAAAGTTTTAACACTTAACAAACAGGTACCCAGGATAGCTCATATAGAAACATGAGACTAATTATGATCCAAAATTTCTTGATTATGTACATAGAATGGTCAATCTTAAAATAAATAAGAATAATATTCTTACAACTTTAGACTAAGGGGGATTTATTGGAGGTACAGGGGCCAAAAGTTCATATTGCATACAATTCATTAGATTAATAAAACTTGTTTAACATTATGAGAAACATTTTATTTTGCTGATTGTTTAGGCTTTCTTTTTTATCTCCTAACTATGACCTAATTGGCAAAAGAACTATTATTTTAAAAAAGTAGTTGAAAAAATGTATCCTCATAGAACCCTTCTTTTTCTACATTTATTTTGACAACTTTAAGTGGATGACTAATTACAGAATTGAAGACTATTGAGGTTTATATCAAAGAAGATGGAATAATTATAATATTTATATTTATCCTTATGATGAATGAAATAACCATTAAAAAATTAAATATTTACAAATAATGGAGAACTTTTTAACTGGATATTTAAATGATTAGAATTTGAATGAAGCAAAATGTAAAAAAGATATATATATTCTTATTTCTAAATTGTGAATTATATAAAACTCCAAAGTAAAAACAAATCTAATAGACTGATTATTGATAAAAAAATAAAATAGATAAATAAATTAATCACCTTAAAGATTCAAATTATAAAAGAAAATTGTTTAAGTCAATTAAAAGAAAATGAAAAAATATTAGCAAATATTGGATAAGAGAATTTAATAAATTTAATTGAATAATAAAAATATCTAACAATATGTGTCTCTCAAAAAACTTCTGTAATGGTTAATTTAACAAATAATCATTGAAAGAAGGTAATAATCTAATTACTAAGCCCGGTCAACTACATTTTTCAACAAAATATCGTAATCACTAATAATTAATTAAATAAACTTTGGAGACTAATTGATTGTTTAAATATAAATTTTTTAGTAGCTGTTTCAATAGGTTGATAAAAAGATTACAAAAGGAGAAATATGATTAAATTTCACCTTACATAATTGTTACAAGAAAAGAGAAGTTTAGCAGAGGAGGATAATAAGAAATAAGTGAGATTATTTAGTATATAAGAAGCATAAGGCTGAGCATAAACTGGAATTTTTGTCATTAGAGAATCAGTATAATTATGTCAACACATTAGATTCTTTATTCAATTAATTAGCATTAAATTTGCAATAATTAGAATGAGAATAGTGAGATAAATCTTCTTACTTCACTATTTTGCAATTTGAAAAATATTAAGGATTATTTATCCTTATATTCCAATTTCTCAATCAGAACTTATCTCAATATGTTTCTAATTGCACAACTCTAATATTTCTAAGAGTTAATGCAATTCAAAAATATTCAGATTCAGCTATTTTTAATTTTTTAATGTAGTTCAAAATTTCATATCTTACAATTCCTATGATATTTATAATAATAATTTGTCTCTGTTATCTATATTAAAAAAGTTTTAATGGATTAATTGAAATATTTTTATTTCAATATTTATCGGTTTCTATTTTTTAATATTAAACATCAGTATAAAATTGTTTAAAATGTTAATACATTAATTTTTCTAAAGTCATTCCTACCTCATTTTTAGTGAATCTAACCAATTTTATTAAATTCTATTTCGCCTACCATTGCCCATCATTCTCTTCTCGGCCTCTCTGATTTTCTTCCATAATTATTCATTTATGCAAATGTATAATAATTATAATGCTATATTTGATTTAACAGTTGCTTTTGTTTAAACCTAAATTTTATATTCGAATCGATTGGCTTCTACCCTTTCAGGCCACTTCGGTATATCTTAGAAATGTATATTGGTATTCTTAAAACAAGAATTTTTTTATTGAAATAATTTAAATTACTCATAAAATATTTGAGGGATACTTAATTCTAAGTTGGTTATATAAATTCATTGTCTTCATTTTATTCCTCTATAATTAGGACCTTTATTTTATTGCTTTTATCCACGTATTTTTAAAGCCATGTCTATAATATACTCACTACTAAGGTTAGAGGAACTCTGTAAATTTATTCTAGAATCCACTAAAATCACTTTTAATCCTTGATTGTCGGCACTCCTTTAATAATCAATTATATTTTTACTCTGTTAATCTTAGTAAATCTACCTATCTTCTCTAATCATCTTCTAATCAACGACACCCTAATGAAGGCATTTATTTCTCTGCCTAAAGTGTGAATAATTAGGCGTTCTTCCATTATGGCCTTCCTTTATAGAAAATTTCGCTTTAAGAAGAATATGAATTCTGGAGAACTCCTTCAATATAAAATCAGTTCTTTCAGTTATAAAAGGATTATCAAAAAACTCTATTATATATGGTTATCCAAAATAATATTTGGATTCTAATACTAATCTGCCTTTCTCTTTGAATCCTTCTCTATAATCCCTCACCTGCTAAGCCCATTAATATCTTTCATTCTTTCCACTTTAAATTCAGTTTAATGTTGAGGTTTGTTGATTTTTCATCTGATTCGTTGTTTCAATAATAAATAAATTATTTTGTAACACACCAAACAAATAATTCCATTAATCATCGAATCTGGATGACAATTTCATCACTCTACTCTATTTCACACCATCAATTTATTCTTTAGAAACAATAAGCATTTCATTCATTATCTTGAACCAATTGATTTATTGTTCCGTCTGCATCTTAATATATCAAAAAATACGAAAGTATATTTTAATTTTTTCATTCATAGTTAGCCTAGAATTCATTTCATTGCCATTTATATGTTTGTATAATTAGGTTATCGAAATGATCACCCTTTCTTAAGATCTTTAAACATTTAGTTATGAAAAAAGTCTCAAAATTTTTCTAAAGTATTTCTTATATTATTTCTACTAATAAACTTATCTCTTCATGTTTCAATTTCGACTTTCTTCTAAAATAATAATTTTAGTGAAGCCTATAATACTTCCAATCTCTATTATTAAATTAAGAATAAACATCATCCTTATTTAAAAGCCACATTCAGGTTAAGTTTTCCTGTTATATTGTGATAATAGTCATTAATTTTTTTTATTTATAATATAAGATGAATCATTTTAGCTGAGCCATCACTCTATTAGCGAGATTACATTCCCTTTGGGGAAGGGAGAAAGGTATCTTATGAAATTTATTCGCTCTCAAATTCTCTGTGATAATTCTACAATTAAACACTTTTTAACTGGATTGCAGTTTCGCACATTATATTATAATAAACAAATTTGTGTTTTTGTAAAAACAATGAAAAAATGCTGTTTTATCCTTTCATTTCAATTTTCGAATTGATAATTAATGGGCTCCTAATATTATATCCATCTAAAATCACAATCTTCCCTAAGGTAATATTTTTCCTTCACTGATTAGGTCATTCCTTATTCACTCCATCTTTTATCTAACAAAATGTAAGCATTCTCTTGTAAAAGCTGGCTTTCTAATTCCCCTATTTTATGTTGAATTCTCGCTAGGAATAATATCTTTAAAATATAGGCTCATTTCTAGCCCTTTTCCCTAAATATCATGGTCAGTGCTTCAGAAGCCAAGAATTATCATTGAGGATGCTGAATCTTAATCAATATTTGGGTGACTTCTTTTTTTTTCTTTAAAAGTATTTTTATAGGACAATTGAAAGTTATTAAAGAATTTATCAAATCTTATTTTATGTGAGAAATGCCTAATTTCTCAATACAAGAGCTTCAAGCAAAATATCCAACTATAATATCTAATTTCTGTACTTTTTTTGAATTTTCATTTTGGCTTTTTAGCCTTGAAAAATATGTCTGTTCCCTCTTGTCCAAGTGAATATCTTAAAAAGTATTCATTATTACCTTTACTAATCATCTTATCCATATACTTAAGTTAGCATTTTTCTCCATTTTACCTGATTCATGAATTAGGAATCAATTCCAATCT